CCAAATACCCCCCATAGAACACTGATCCGTATAAGTCATAAGTTCCTGGTATAGGGAAAAAAGAGTGTGGATGGACAAACTAAATAGCCACCTGCGTAGAAATGGCTGCAATTAACTGTAAACATAAGCTTCAACGCAGTCTCGCCACTGACAGATCAAATCTCATTCAAACAGAAGGCAGTATTTTACACTTGATACATATATAATATTGCATAAGCATCCATTCGCACAAACACACACATATACATCTAACACACTAAAAATTTATAACATAACTGTGATGAACATTGCACGTTGCCCACAAAAAAAAAATTATGCCATCGACAGATTTTGATATTTTAAAACACATGAGTAAAAACTAGATAACTAAACCGCAAACAGGCAATTTTTGGTTGGAATAATATATCCAAGAAGATACGCACGATGATGATACACCTGCAGTTAGTTAGTGGGTTATTCGCTGAGGGAGTTTGGAGTTGGTGTAATAAACACTGTACAGAAAGACTTCTTCGCTCACTCAAAGGGAGGAAATATTCTACTGGTCCAGTTCATGAGTAGAAAGCCAAGACATCATGTATCACAAATAAGAACAACAAAAACAAAAAATAAAGACAACAACAACGATAACGATAATAATAATAGTATTAATAGCAGTAATAACAGCAATGATAATATTAGTAAAAAGTTGGCTACTAACTTGGCTGTATCAAAAAAACCTTGAGTCAAGAATTTACCAAATATGTAAGCAAACACAAAAGTCCACAGTGAGTAAAGATCTATATAATATATTTATGTATGTACAAAAGAGGGGGGGTGGGGGTACACAAACTCTCATCATACCGTTACAGGAAACAAAAACGACTCAAACAAACGCTCCAAAATCCGGAACTTCCAGAAGTAACTTCCAGAAATGCGGCACCACTGTAAATTGAAATCAAGTGCAGGGGGGGGAGGTGGACTAAGAGACGACAGGGAAAGTTGGGAAGGGCGGCGGGGTCCACGCGACGGCACCCACCTATTTCTTCTTGGCCTTGGGGGAGGCGGACTGGAACACGCTACTGGCCGCCATCAGGTTCTCGATGTACTGGCCCAACACCTGGTTCTCCGACTTCAGCTTGAGGTTCTCCACCTTCACCGTGTCTACTCGCGACGACAGATCTGGGAGGGAGGGGGGAG